TAAAATAAAATAAAATAAAATAAAATAAAATAAAATAAAATAAAATATAATATAACAAAGTAAAATACGACAAAAAAAACAAAATTAAATTAAATCAACAGTAAAATGAAAAAATTAGATTAAATTAAAAAATATAATAAAACCAAAATAAAAAAAAACATAAAAAATACTTTAAAATAAGATAAAAAAATTAAATAAAAATAAAATAAAATACATAAAAGTAAAACCAAAGTAAAGTAATTTTAAATAAAAAAATTAAAGTAAAAAGAAACCAAAGTTGTTGAATGCGAAGACCTCTAATAATTTTAAGCCGATGAGATTGATCAATCAGCAGATGCTTTCCGTTTTCACGAACACACATTCATTATTATTTCATGTAAATGTTTCCCTTTCAAAGAAAGTTGAATAACAAGCTCTGGAAACTCTGGCCAATCCATACAAGATAAAGAGGAGTAAAGAAAATGAGCCGAAATAAGGCATATTTTTTCCAATTTTGCCGACTTACTTATGCTTTAGAAATCCGATTTTGTTATTTCAGGTTCGCATTCGCAGGCAACTTTCTAAGTTCAATGAGTCATAGCCAGTTTAGTTTTACGAATATTCATTTGTAACATTTAAAAACATTTTACCCATAAATAAAAAACAAAGTTTGCTTGAGTGTGCCTCCTGTGAGGATTGAACTCACGACCCCTGGTTTACAAGACCAGTGCTCTGCCACTGAGCTAAAGAGGCGCTTGGAGAAAGGTATGACGAATTGGCAACGGCATATGGAGAATACAATAATAATTGTGTGTGTGTGTTTGTGTGTACACTTTGCGCCAAAAGTTAAATTATACAGCTCACAGCCAAAAATAGAAAATTCTAAACAGAAAATTTTATAAGCAACACAAATCATCGTCAAAGCAATTAAGCTGTAGGTAAACGATTAGAAATGATTCATTGCGTCATAATTCGTGAGCATGCATATGTATGTATGTGTATGTTTGTATTGATTGGCGAACGAATAAGAATTTATGGCTAATACAAACAGATTTGTTAAACAGTGCGCATACATATATTTTTGGGCGAATAACGAGCATTGTTAGTTGTTGTTCATATTTTTATGTTAACGCACTTCTATGTAGTTGCATTTATTTAACTTGTAAATTTACTCTAATTTGTATCATCAGAAGCAGAGTTTATAACTGCAGGTGTTGCGTGCTGATATCGGCAGATGTCGCACCGACATGCGGTGAATTTACTAAAGTAAATAGGTGTCGCCCTTATCAATATGCGCTATATAAATGCAATACGTTCTATGATGCAGTGTTGCCAGGTTTTAAACATGAGAAAATGAATGGTTTTTTCGTTTTAACCCAAAAATGTCGCACTTTGATTGCCCCTTTCTCAACTCGTGTTCGTTTGATAGGTTTTGGAAAATTAATAAATCAAATCTCTGCAGTTCTTTCAAGCAACAACTTGTTTTGTTATCTATATATATTTTACCGGCCAAACCCGATCTTAGGACTAATTATTCTTTAAAAAGAGTTGTCACCTTTTAAATATTTATATTTAAATTGTTTAAAAAATAAATCAATTATTACAAAATGGATAACAATAGAAATGGTTTTAGCTGAACAATAGGAGGGTTGCCATCTGTTTAAAAAATTAAATTCAATTTGAATTATGTGAATTAGGCAACAGAAATTTGTATGTATCACCATATGGGTGCCAAACGAAAGGGGTTTCAGAAAGTAGTAGTAGTATTTTAAGCAGGGTTGCCATCTGATTGAAATGGTGAATTTAGTTTACTTATAAACTAGTTTTATGAAATATCAAAATATGGATGTCAAAAGAGGGAGCAATAAGAAATCTTTTGTTTGAACGCAAAGAATATTTTGAGGTGTTGGAAGAGGGTTACCACCTGTTTACAATTTATTTTAAAATTATATGGCTATCAATCAAAGGGGGTATGCAAATTTTTTATTTCTGAGCCATATTTATCGGGGTTGAAGAGGGCTGCCACCTGTTTGAAAGGTCTAATTCAATTAAATAATACAAAAAGTATATCTTTAATTTGGAACTTTTTGGATGTTTAAAGAGGATTACCACTTGTTTAAAATTTTACATTAAAATTATTCAATAAGTTGAGTGAGTATCGATCGAAATGCGTTTGAAAAGTCTTTATTTCTAACCTGTATTTAAGAGGGATGCCATGTGTTCGAACGATTTAATTTAAATTCATCAGTTTATCATGTGTATCACAATGTCAAACGAAAGGGGTTTGAGAAGATGTTAGTTTGAGAATGCCATTGAAAAGGAATTTCAAAAATGAGAGGTCATATTAAAGACCTTAGCCTGTAGGGTGTTTCGAAATTTGGTGAAATTAAAAAGCTGCACTATGTGGGACTTATCTTCACTCAGAAACGGCTGCACGGTTTTAGATGAAATATAACATTTGGATCTCTTATAACTCTGACTAAGATTTGGTATATTATTTATGTCTTTGAAACTAAATTTTGGGCATCTTAGCGCCATGCGAGTTCACTAGTTTTTTATATAATGTTAATCCCTTCTACTGCTTTTTAAAACGTTTAGTTGAAATTTCGTAGAATTGAGCTTGTAGACGGTTATGGTTCTGATATTTCAGGTCCTTTAAAAAGCCAGGGCCCGGTGGGAATCACCCCTGAAAAATATTTATTTTTTTATAACTTACTATCTAAAAACAACCGGTAAATCAAAATTTGTAGATCATCGCAATTTGAAACATTTTAATCAGATTTTCTACAATTGTTTTGAGTATGCAGTTTTGAAGCCCGTTAAATTTTGATGTAATAAAGTGCAAGCTGGAAGAAGCTTGCACTTATAGCCCGAACACAATGAAAACGACGAGCTACAAACCACAGCTGTCAAATTATTTTAACACGTACTCTTATGTAGATAACTATTTTGGCGACGACGCTGTGGTTGTGGCCAGATTAGATCTATTTCTATTTTTCTGGCGACAGATAAGGTTCTTCCTCTTCTTTTATGTCAAACTCATACAAATTCATGATGTCGCTGCCGCGTTCAAAGAAATCATGTCGCCATCGACAAAGCGTTTAGATAATGAAGATAACAAATTGGAAGCTGTGGTCTGTAGCTCGTCGTTTTCAATGTGTTCAGAACTTTACTGTTGATTTTTGGCAATTTTTTGTTCGCGCATTTTCTTTCATACACAGTATGTTCAAAATTTTTTTTTTTTAATGGAGAAAATGAGCAGCAACACCTTTCACAAAATATACCAAATATCAACGGTAAGTCTTAGGTACTTAAAATTTTCACTTTGAGTTGAATAGGTTACAAAATTGTATACTCAGAATGTTTCTAAAAAATCTAATTAAAAAGCTCAAAAATTTTGATGAATCTTTGTCGAATATTGCTAATTTTTGTACAAAGTTTCATATTCTGACCTACATGGTATTTGGTAGGTAGCGAACTACACTTTCATAAAATGGAATAAACGTTAAATAATCGAAAGGGCAATAGCCAAAGAAAGCTAAAATGTCTCTTCCCTATTTATATTTTCGCCACTCTATCTACAGCTTATGGCTGCATTTCTTTATTCATTCTGAACGTTTGGAATAAACTTTTTTGTTTACTTATTCTTTAGAACGTTCTTGATGATATGTTAACGTATATTTCAAACGCATTCTGTTTATTCCGGCTGTGAAATGGGATTATCCGGAATGTATAAAGAAACGCAGCATATCCACGATTTTTTTGAGGGTATTTGTATTAATTTTTATAATTTCAGTAATTATGCTATTATATTATTAAAAAGGATGATGACTATGTATATGGCTCACTTACATTCTATATCCTTTATGATAACGAGATAGTGCTGCCTAGTTTGTATGAAAAACTGTTTTTGAGCCAGGGTGGGGGACAGCCTTAATAAATGAATAAAGAAACCACTTCACTTCAAAAATTGTATAATTTTTGGTTCAATTAACTGGGGAATCAATTGCGTAAAAAATTTAAGGAACATATATCTTTTTTCCGATAGCACATATTCTTACCCAATTATGCGGTGAAACCAATTAACCGGGGATAACTAAAATGGGGAATACTGTATTAACAAACTTAAACTGCAGAATTTAAACAGATTTAATTTTTTGGTGCATAAGGACTGATAAGTATTGAAAATGTCCTTTTAAAATTTGATCCTTGAAATTTTGCAATATTTTTTTTTGAAAAAATTATATGTTAAGGATTTATATAAACTCGATTTCATCCTTCTAACTTTATCAGCTTAAAAAATTACCTATTCTTCCTTGTGAATCCAAAATTTTTAATTTTTTCTAATTCTCAATAGATTTTCTCTTTCATTTGGTATCCATATATTAATTCTACATTGCATTGAATTTTTTAAATAATTTTTGGAAGTAATCATATCTTTGGAATTACAAAGTCCTTTAAAATAAATGCTGATGTCAGAGAGAGAAAAAAAATCGCCACTTTAAATAAAAAATTAGAATTCAAACCCATTTATTTATTATTTATTTGATGGTAGGAGAGCTTTTCAGCGTTTTAGGTTTTTGAAACGTAATGAATATCTATGTAAATCACGGGATCCCGGGATTGTGATAACGACATCTCGAAAATCCCGCGATCGTAAAAAGCGAAACAACTAACATCCCTAATCCGTATGTAAATATGTACATACGTATGTGTTTTATTATACCACACCAGTAAAACTACTTTTATACGTGGCTATTTTTGTTTGTAAACAAATAATTTTACGCTCCCACGTGCATTGCAGTAATCCAAAATGAGAGCATATTTCGCAGTTTACGAGAGTAAAGGTCCCTTGCTCTTAAAAACCCTATCTGCTGCTCTTAAGAAATCTAAAAATATATATCCGAACTATGGATGCCGAAACGACACGTTATGGGTAGATTTTCCACATTTTCAGTTTAGCTGCAGTTTTCTAAAAGAAAAGTTGAATTTGGTATTACAGAAAGTGAAAAATAATATTCCAAACGAAAAAAATTAAAGGAAATTTTTCAAATCCATTAAGAAATCTTTAGCTAAACGTTGTAAAAACTGAACAGAAATGTCTTTGGTGGAGAAAACCGGCTTTTTCCCCGACTATTATGTTAACCTGAAAAATTCGCATTTAGATATTTTCGATGTAGAGGTGGCCAAAATTGCAGCATGTCGCAACGATTACGAGCGGCTGACATTCGTTGAGCAATTTCCCGGTGTACGCGAAAGCGATGGACAGTTGCAAGTGAAAAGGGTGTATGTGGGGAAAGATGCCGACACGGCAGCACAATTGAAGGAGAAAGGCAATCAGGCGTTCAAGGCTAAAAATTGGTTTGAGGCCATGGTCTTCTATACAAGAAGCTATTTGGCATTGCCGGCGGACAAGGGTAAGTTGCTGGGTCATTTCTCTTCTGGCCCTGCCTTATTGTGCGTATACTCGTATGTAGCATTATTCATTCATTTTTTTATTGTCAGCAAGCGAACGCGCAATCATCTTAGCCAATCGCTCTGCCACACTCTTCCACATGGAGAAGTACGATGAGACGCTGATCGATGTGAAGCGCGCCATAGATTTGGGCTATCCCAAGGATCTAATATACAAGCTGTATGAGCGTCAGGCGCGTTGCTATATGGTGAAGAAGAATTATCCCAATACCATAGCAAGTTTCAAGTAAGCTGATCGTATTTTTGAAAAATTAATTGGTGCGTTAAATAAACATTTTTTGGATTTGCAGGAAATGCATCACTGCGCTGGATGATGCGAAAGTGCCGGCGGACAGGCGCAGTAAGTTGAGTTTGGATGCCATGACTATGATCAAAATGCTGGAAAGGGATCCGCAAACTGTTAGACAAGCGGAAAGGCAAAAGAAATTGGGTGAGCCAAAACTGACAATGGCCATACCCGAGGAGAAGGAGTTTGTCAGTGATGCAGTGCGCATAGATCAGAGTTGTTCGGAGGGTAGATTTGCGCGCGCTGCCACCGATATTATGGTGGGCGAGGAAATTTTGGTGGAGAAGCCATTTGTCGCAGTGCTGTTGGAGAAGTACTCTAAGTCACATTGCGATAATTGTTTTATTAGGTACCTATTCGTAGTAGTAGTGGGATGTGATACAAAAAATTTAAATTAGAAAAAATCTTTTTGCAAAATTTAGCAATATTTTTGTTTAGGTTTTATATAAGAAATGCTTGCTTTTTTAATACTTGGTTTGTTTTTTTAGAACCGCCATACCAGTTGCCTGTCCAAAGTGTGCTGATGTCCTGTACTGTTCCGAGGAGTGCCTAACCAAAGCCAGCACCACCTATCACAAATATGAATGCGGACTTTTGCCCACAATTTGGCGCTCTGGTGCATCTGTAAATTGCCATATGGCTTTGCGCGTTCTTGCTAAAAAATCGTTGGACTATTTCTTAAATATTAAGCAAGATATCGACAAGGAGTTAACCATTGAGGAAATACTCAAGTAAGTGTTTAAACGTACAATCAAATATTTTTTTATTAAAAAAAAAAAATGCTCAATTGGAAGGACTTATCTATATGTATGTACGTACCTAAACAAGCATAGCGTAAGGTTAGATCTGTGGAATATACCCACCAGGAAGTTATTTTTATCGAGAAATTCTTAGAATTTAAGAAATCCATGCTACTGGGATTCCTTAAATAATGTCTCGACGCAATTAATATGTAAGCCACACAGCATACGGAATCAGGGAAACTAACCTTTTTCGGGCACGCGCCAATAATGAGTGAAATAAATGGAGGACGGCTAAATTGACTTGGAAGCCAGCCAGGGGCGAACGCAGAAATTTTTTTAGGGAGGGGTTTTAAAATTATTATTATTATTATTATTATTTTTTTCATTTAATCAGTTGTACCAAATATGCGTTTCGGTAGTACAAAATGTCTATATTTTTTTCAATAAATTCGAGTTATTACATATGTATGCATGAAAAATGTGAAACATCATTTCTCTACTGCTTCGACTTAAAAGAAAATATTGTAATCAGTATTTCTTTATTCGCAACTTC